CAATTTGAAACAATGCTTTGAGGAAAGGACTACTGTTATCCCTTTTTGCAGATAAAGAAATTAAGGCCGAGAGGCTGAGTAGCAGCCATTCAAGGTCATGAAACTGGTAGGCAGAAAAGCTGGTGTTCCTGTGCTAAGCCCAGGTTCCAAGTTAGAAAACATAAACTCCCACAGTACCAGGCAAGACACTGATGTCCATCTAAGAGGAAGCCTCCGGAGGCATAGCCCCAGCATTCTCCACTCAGCTCTGTCCTGAAGTTTTTTACGTTACACAAAACTTAAAAGATTGCTTACAAAATCAAGGGTGATGTGGAAGTTGGAGGAACAGCTAAGACTTTTTGATGACAGATTGAGGATTCAAAAATATCTCAATAGACCGAAATGATGAGTTAAAAATAACACTGAATTTAATGGCTAAACGTGAAATCTTGAATTTATATTTTAAAAAATCACCACAAATACAGCACAGAGAAGAGAATGCTTACTTCATCCAGCACCCCTTTCTGTATTTCTTTGCCTCCTACAGCCGCCAGGGCCAAGTCTCGCAGTGCTTACCTCTTTATCACCTTCTGACCCATCTCTATCTCTCCACTTCCCTTGCCAGTCCCCCAGTTTAGGTACTCTCTCCCTCTACCCCCATACTCTTATGCAGAACTCAGGAAAGTCTCCCTAAAGCAAGGCCTGCAGCTGGTGCTTCCTGCTTCCACATGCTCAGTGGCTCCTCATGCCTAATTGAAAAAGGCCAAGTTCTTTAGGTCCGACATTCGGGATCCTCCAGACGGCCCTGGTTCTCCTTTCCAAAACCCATTCATCGCGTGTTCTTGCTCAGGCACCTTCCTCCTTCCTTAAGCCTGTCTAAGTCCTCCCATTCTTCAAAACCCAGTTCATACCCTTCACCAAGCCTCTCCTGTCTTCCTGAGTCATTTCTTCCTCCTGTAACTTTATCGGTCTTGCCATATTTTCTGCACAAATTAATGCTGTGGACACACACCTTCCATTTCTTTGTCTCACGTTTCCCTTCTATACTTCACCAAGAACATAAGCTCATTAAAGGCAGACTCTGATTCACTTCTTTATCCCTGACACTCACACAGTGTCTTGGTAGATACTCAGTATATATCTGACAGCTGCAGAGCTAGGACATAACAGCACTGTGTACAGCACTGGGTCTTACACGAGGATTTGATGGTTTTTCTGGAATACCCAGAGCATGCTGGAACACAAGGCACAGCGTGTACTGCTTTTTAAGATGGACACTGCTGGCTGATGGGCAATGGGGACCCAGGACATGCCGGAGATAGGAAAGGGACTAAGGGAAGAGAAATACAGACTAAGGGACCATGATGTCTATTTTCACATGTTCGAAGGGCTTGTCTGTAAGGATGAAACTGATTTGGAATCACACCAGGAAAAGAACTATCTCCGGTGTACAGGAGAGGAGTGCTCCCCACACGAGAGTGCTTTTAGGTGAGAGTTGTCCAACAGCGGCCAGCCTGCTCTGCAAATGCAGGGGCTTCCAGTCACTGGACGTGTTGGGACAGGATCATAAACAATGAAAAAAAGTCTACTCATGACAAAGGCCCAAGCCACAAGAACCCAAACATTTCCTTCTAAATAACAAGAACAACAATCCTATACAAATGGTCACCAGTGGGGTTTAGATCTGGAGACAGCTTTGCCTGGTCTGGTTATGTAACACCTCCCTAATAATTCATATTTGCCAACATTGTTACTTGTGGGAAATGAGAGTACCCATAATCAGATACACAGAAGAAAAAGAGGGAATGCCCTGCTTTTTAAAAGAAGCTTTACATTTAATAGAAGCTAAACATGAAAGAAAGTAAATTTAAAATGTAATATTATTAAAATGCAAGTAATTTTTTTTTTTTTTGAGTTGGAGTCTCACTCTGTCGTCCAGGCTGGAGTGCAGTGGCCGCTCCCGGTCACCGCAACCTCGACTTGCTGGGCTCCAGCGATCCTTCCGCCTCAGCCTTCCAAGTAGCTGGAACTACAGGCGTGTGCTACCACGCCTGGCTAATTTTTGATTTATTGTAGAGATGAGGTCTCGCCAAGTTGCCCAGGCAGGTCTCGAACCCGCAGGCTCAGGCAATCCACTCACCTCAGTCTCCCAAAGTGCGGGATTACAGGCTGAGCCACCGAGCCCAGCTAAAATCCAAGTATTTTTAAATTTAAAATATGTCATTCAGTTCGCATTTGGTAGATGAGACATCATTACAACCACTTTGGAGTTTGGTTTTGTAAAACTGAAAATACACCAGAATCCCAGTCTCTGGTGACTAACCTGGACCAGTGGCTTTCATCATTGCTATCTGTGTATCTCTTCCAATGGTCCTGAAAAATTATATTCTTCTTCCCTTGTAGAGTTGACATGTAATGGTTTCAGTATGAGTTTAAATAGTTGCAAGATACATAATTTTTGGCATATCTTAAAGACTGCCACTTTAAAATCACTATTTAAAATGGCAACACACAGAGGCAAATATTACAGGACCTCACTTACATGGGGCATCTAAAAGAGTCAAAGTCATAGAAGCAGAGTTGAACAGGGTCATCCCAGGCTGGAGTGAGGTCGGAGCTGAAAGATGCTGCTAGAAGGGCAGTTAGACGGGGCAAGCTTCCTGGAGGCCTGTTGCACATGACGGTGACTGTGTTAACGTGGTATATGTACATTTCAACCACACACAGAGACAAGCGAGTGCAATAAGGGGTATACTAGTCAGCTTGATTGGGTCATCTCATAATGTATTCAAATATCGAAGCATCACACTTACCCAGAATATACACAGCTATTATTTGCAACTAGAAATTAACAGGCATGTATCCAGTGGAATCTCAGTCACAGGAGTGTGATGTCTTCCATTAGACACTTGAAATAGATACGAACAAGCTCTTCTCTAACAGGGACATTTTTTTTTTTAACTTTATCTCTTTCAATTATTTCATTTGCTCACTTATTCTTATCCTAAAAATATATTTTTAATACTTAAAATTAATTTATTATTGCAGTTTTTTGCAAAAAGTTATTTGTACAAATTAAAATCCAAACAATTTAAGTTTTCTGTTACAAGACTAAAATTTACATTTCTTTTGTTTGAATTACCATTATTAATTATTATTTAGTACCCAACTGATTGACATAATTATTAATTATATGTATGATTTCAACTTAATTTTAACAAATAACATTTTTTAAAATCAGTCTCACTTTGTTGCCCAGGCTAATGTGCAGTGGCACAATCATGGCTTACCGCGACCTCAACCTCCTGGTCTCAGGAGATCCTTCTGCCTCAGCCTCCCACGTAGCTGGGACTACAGGCACATATCACCACACCCAGCTAACTTTTCAATTTTTTTGGAGATGGGATTTCCCTGTTACCCAGGCTGGTCTTGAATTCCTGGGCTCAAGCAATCTTCCCACCTCCCAAAGTGCTGGGACTAAAGGCCAGCCATACATAATTTTTGAATAAAAAAGGAAAAGTATTATGGGGAGTGCACTCAGTGAGACGGTTGGGCTTCTCTTCCTTCATTGGTCCACGTGACTATGGATGATGACCACCTGCTGTTGGAAGGAGGGAGGTGGGCGCTAACCTGTGCAGCATTCCTACACTGTTCCCTGCACGCTCCTGAGGATTGTTTATCTTCTACACAGTGTCTACGTTTCCAGTTTTACATTTTAGGACTCCTTGTTGGTTGATCTTACTCTCTCTGTTCAACACAATCTCCTACTGCCTTCTCCGAGGAACTCTTTCCTGGCCAACCTTCCTCCATGAGTGCTTCCCCTATACCCCTGCAATGCCGGTATTCATTCTTTCCACCTCCATATACTTCATCAGTCCAACACCTATCTTGCCTGGGAGATCCATTCTCACTACCACGACACACTTCCTCTCTATCTCTCTTGTTTTATTCCTCTGCCCTTAAAGACTGTGTTGTACAAGCAGCACCTGACTATGTACTGTACTCTACCTATCTATTCTTAATTGTATATCACATGTAATTTTGTATTTTATTATATATGCTTTTTTCCCCTGTTTCATGTCCTGTCAACCAGACCATAATTTGTTACTATTATTAGCTTTCTATGAGAAGTGTTACAATCTTTTCCACAAGATCAGAGAGATATTTTAGCCCAGAGAAAGAAACCAGAGGGATAATGAATGGTGTTCAAGTTCATAACAGTGGTTTTTCATTTCAACCGATGCTGAAAACAAGTACATCTGTCCCCCTGTGACAGTAGGAAAGCTAGACATCAGATGTCAGGAGGAGCGCATTTGTAAGAATTAAACATACCTACCATAACAGATTATTAAGCATTTCAACTTGCTTTACTTCAAGGGCCTTTCAACCATGGAATGGACTAATCGAGACCTCGAATTTCCTTGAGGAAGACACTCTTACGGTTCTAGGTTTTCATGAAAATGCAGGCTGACCCCTCACCCCGGCCCCCCAGGGCAGCCCTCAGCGGCTCTAGCCTTCGTCCGCCCTCCGTGCCTTTCCCTCCCTCCATTGGTCTGACCACATGGGGGTGCAGGCGACTATGTCTGGAGCACACGCTCCCCTCAGGCTCCTGGACAAGCTCAGGGAAGATCCCTGTATCCTTTTCTTTTTTTTTTGAGTTGGAGTCTTACTCCATCGCCTAGGCTGGAGTACAGTGGCACGTTCATGGCCACCGCAGCCTCGACCTGCTGGGCTCCAGGGATCTTTCTGCCTCAGCCTTCCAAGTAGCCGGAACTACAGGCGCGCACTACCATACCCAGCTAATTTTTGATTTATTGTAGAGACAAGGTCTTGCCAAGTTGCCCGGGTTAATCTCGAACCCGCAGGCTCAGGCAATTCACTCGCCTCGGCCTCCCAAAATGCTGGGATTACATGCTGAGCCATCAACCCATCCTGTATCCTTTTCTGTAGTGGCAGAAGCTAGGCTGTGAAGGCACAACTGTCAGAGTCCAAGAGACTGCGCCCAGCCCCAGATATCCTACCTGTAGGCTGCTGCACAGGTGTCCTTGTACTCCTGGAGCTTCCCGCACACCATGCCGAGGAACTGGTCCGAGTAGGCGCTCAGGTCATGCATCAGGTCCATGAGGTCTTGCACTGTCTTCTCCACAATGATGGTGCTCTGAAAACAGGCAGCAAAAGAGACACGGAGACTCATGAGACTCTGCACTTGGGTTGTGTGCGGGGTCAGGAAGACAACCAAATACCTGCCATACTTGAAGGCGCTTGGGCCTTAAGGCCCTTGGGGGTGTGGCAGTTAGAAATAAGGACTAAAACCAACACCAAAATGAGTATCCCGCACAGTGCTGGTCTCTCAAAGACTTGAGAGAGTGCTTTCTGGAGAAGGACACAGGACAGGAATTTTCAAATGGAATACGTGGAATTCTGGGCATCCACAAGACAGCTCCGTGGCTGCTACGAGAGAAAATGCCTAGTCAGCTGTAGCCTGATTTATCACCTTCAGGGCTCTTTGAGATGAGGGACCCATGACAGGCAGCACAAAGAAAAAGCCTTCCGTGGTTTATTTTAAAAGTTTCGAGACCATTAATCTATTAAGAACAACAACTAACATTTGTATTGTTTTACAGTTTGTAGAATGTTTCCACATACACAGCATGTGCTACCTCACTTGAGGCTCACATGATAATCATGAGAATCATGTTCATGTATAGGGTTCTTACAAGTGCAAGGTTCAATGCTAAGCACTTTGCATACTTTATTGCACTTAATCTTCTCAACACCCCTCCCTGTCAGGCAGATCCTATACTCTTTGCAGGCTGAAGACACGACATAGGCTTAGAGAAACAGGAAACGAGGTGGGCTCAGAGCCACTCTAGCTCTCCCACCAGAGCCTGGCCATCTCTCCTGAGATCAGCATCTCACATTCTTTTGTCACCACGGTAGAAGCAGGGTCTAACACACCCAGACATGCTTTAAAACCTAATTAAAGAAATGTTCGAAAGGAAAGATAATGAGCCCATCTTAAAGTTGGAGACTGACAGTGCTGTGCCACAAATCAGTGTTGTATCTGAAAAGAGGTATATTCAGTTGCCAATCTCTGATTAAGAGAAGACTGGGTTGTTTAAACCATGCCTCTTTCAAAAGAAGCAGAATGACACTGGAGTAAATATTAATCACAGGATTAGTAGCTTGGAATCCTTTGGTCAATAACTGGTTTGTTATTGACCAAAACAATATGTATTTATATAAAATGACATAGGCTTTGACATAAAAGTAAACTTAAAAAATGTTTTCCAGTCTGGCAGTAAACTATGGAAGAATCAAAGGCATTTTATGAAGCTTAAACACAGACTATTGGATACAGGGTTTTGGCTAATTTTTTTTTTCTTAAAAAAAAAAAAGAGCTGGGCTCTCGGTGGCTCAGCCTATAATCCCGCGCCTTTGGGAGGCTGAGGAGAGTGGATCGCCTGAGCCCACGGGTTCGAGACCTGCCTGGGCAGCGAGACCTCATCTCTACAATAAATCAAAAAATCAGCCGGGTGTGGTAGCGCGCACCTGTAGTTCCAGCTACTTGGAAGGCTGAGGCGGAAGGATCACTGGAGCCCAGCAGGTCGAGGTTGCAGTGGCCGGGAGCAGCCACTACACTCCAGTCAGGGCAACAGAGTGAGACTCCAACTCAAAAA